CAAAAACACCCAAAGCAGCTCTTAGATTAATTTACAAAAATGTATAAAAGTGTCCCAGTGGCACTAAACTGTTGTAAGGACAAAATTAACCACTAGAGGGCACCTCCAACGCAGATGTCACCTGTCCCACATGTGACTTCCAATGGGAAGTTTGGCTTTTGTGGATTGGCTCCCAAAGAGCTCTTAAATTATTATCGTCTGTATCTTCATATTTTAGCTTAACTTGTCAAACAGGGATGTTTTATGTTTTGATAAACCCTTTCACATTTAAATAAGCCTCATAATTGATGATTATAATGATTAAATTACCTTTTCAAGATCTGCAGAAGCCAATTAATCACCCATTCATTCAAATCAGGTGTTGGAGCAGAGAAACAAGTGAAACTTGCAGGATAAGTTTGTCCACCTACATCCTATATCCTCATGTGATTGGTCTAAAGGCCAGTGAAACTGAAAAACAAAAGGACCGGTTGTCACTTGATGTGTCGGCTCCTCTGATTCATTTAAGGATGATGCATCACTAACGTTTAGCCATGGCTAAGAACAGAAGAAAGAAAGTCGGACAGATAAAATTGCATATTTTAGGTGAAATGGGAGGTAGACTCTGTTCACAGAATTTCAAGGCAAACCTGTGTTTATTCTGCTTAGTGACGCTGTCTGCCATCAATGATTTTATTATAAATCCCCACTAAAACGTTGTGCAAAGCTAAATAAGAGAAGTCACAAGTACATGAAAAACAGTGACTTTTTACAAGAATCACAACATGCAGGCGTCTGCACTCAAGGTACTAAAGTAAGTGTGTATTTTTTGTTTTGGATATTTTGAATTCATGTTAAACAAGTGTACAACTGTTATACATGTATTTGAGCATGAAGTCACTGCACTGTTTGGTTTATTAAACGTATATATGCAAACATTTTCAAAAAGGCAGTTTTATTACATTTGGGTATGTGTGAAGCGCTGTGTGGCCCTCTGGTAGTCAACAAAAAATTGTTGCCCCTTCCGTCATTTAAGTTGCCCATCTCTGGCATAAACAAGGCATTTAAAAAGCAGCTTAAATCTGGAGTTAGTTGATGCCACCAACCTTTCTCTGGGACATGAGAGATCGAGCAGCTAAAGCTTTTCCTCCTCATACATCCCCCAGAATGCCGTGTGGTTCTGGATTGGAGTTCAGTGAAATTATCAACATTCTACTGGACATATTTTCTATTAATACCAATTATATGTCAATCACAATATATATTATTGTTTTAATGCCCAATTTTAACTAAAATATGGCTTAATTACTTCTTGTATGACTAATGCACACCTGTTGTAGATTGTGTGTCCATTATGATTTTAATAAAGACTTAATCGTGTCAAAACGTTTGTCTGTTTAAACAATGAAGGCTGAAAATTTAATTAGTGAGCTCTAACCCATTTTTAGATTTGCGAAGCCTCTTGTTGTGACACCCAATGCAGGTAATTACTGCTGGAAGATAAACAGTATTTCATTAAAGGGATCCCTGATTAATTGTAACATTAGACTTTATTTGATAAACATATATTTTAACTGTAAAATAAAGACTGTAAAAATACTGTAGGCTGTTTAGTTTTGTAAACTTTTAGTAAAAATATTTTAACACGGACGGAGCCATTTTATTTACACACAAAGCATTCTGGGTAAATGATGACGTGGATAGGTCATTGGTGTGAGTGAGCTATATCCACCCTGAAGGTTAATCTTGGACAATATCTGATGATCGACTCTTTTAAATAAAACCAGAGAGCGTTGACAGAGAGGAGAAGGTAGAAATGACTCAGCCTGTAACTGAAAATATGGATGGAGGACAACAGAGCTGCTTCATGGAAGAAGAACCTCAGCTTAGCCTGTTAGCCTTTGTGCTAGCGCTGGTGCTATATTGCCTTATATGTATTTGCTCAGTGCTAGCGCGACAAACAAGCTAAACTGAGGTCCTCCATCCATATTTTCAGTTGCAGGCTGAGTCATTGTTGTGTTGCCCTCTCTGTCATGTGGATGGAGGACCTCAGTGATGAGAGGAGAATGTGTAGCACTGAGCTAATACATTTATATGGTGATAGCTTATGGGCTAACGTTAAAGCTAACAGGCTAAGCTGAGGTTCTTCTTCTATGAAGCAGCTCTCTTGTCCTCCATCTATATTTTCAGTTACAGGCTGAGTCATTTCTACCTTCTCCTCTCTGTCAACGCTCTCTGGTTTCATTTAAAAGAGTCGATCATCAGATATTGTCCAAGATTAACCTTCAGGGTGGATATAGCTCGCTAGCAGCCTCACACAGATGACCTAGCCGTGTCATCATTTACCCAGAATGCTTTGCATGTAAATAAAATGGCTCCGTCTATGTAATATATTTTTATACTTTTAGTTTAAAATTGATAAAAACTGAACATCCTACAGTGTTTATAAAGTCTTTATTTTACAGTTAAATGTTTATCAAATAAAGTCTAATGTTACAACTAATCGGGGATCCCTTTAAAAGCTAAACAGATAAATTTTCCTTCTATCAACACTTGTGCTGTCAGGTTCCTGAGAAGAGCAGAGCAGGAGAGAAGCAGCTGGTTCGTACCTGTGAGTAGACCCTGTTCTGCCACCGCCTCTGACCGGACATGAATGCTCCGACCTGGTACATGCCTTGTTTGGTGTCCAACGTGCCGACATCCAGCTGGAGAAACTTCTCGGGGTGGTTGTTATTGGGTAGAACAGAGATGTCCATGTTGGCTCTGCTGTTTCAGGCCACACTTAACGCTTGACCTGCAGCAGCCTTTAACTTGAAGCAGATGCTCACCAAAGCTTGCGAACTTGCTAATAATTTATTAAAAGGAAGGTATTTATGAGGCTGGATCTCTTTCAGGTGAGTGTAACCCAATCCTGCCCAACACTGAGCAGCAACACTCTCAAACGAGAGGGAGAACGAGAGCAGTGGAACCCTAGTTTGTGTTTGCAACTGTCCACACAAGTGTTGTTATGTAAGGCCTGCTGCTGCCTAAAGGTCTTCATACGATCCATAATACATGACATGACATAACTCGTGACCCCTGATCTCTAATGTGTAGTGGAGCATGAACAACATGACATCATTTCTTGAGCTCCAAATGATTCATACACTTAATGTACACAGCTGGACCATCTGTCTCTACTGTGATCGTATAACTGCTCGGTGGTTTGGTTCATGACATATTTTGCAGATAATGGAAGGAGGAAAAAAAGGTGTTTTATTGCATGAAACTGAGAAAAACAAATAAACAGTAAGAGGGGATAAAAAAAGGATATATATATATATA